ATGCTTAGATTAATTTTTATTTTTCCATGTGAAAAGTTGATATATATTGAGCACATAAATTAAATTAAGTATTATATAGGAATGAGTTGATTTCATAATTGAATAAATTGAAATAATGGACCATGGATGTTAAATTCAAAACCACTAAATTTTATATTCTTGGACCAAATTTAGAATTGTTTGGGGGATTTCACTGTTGTAGGAAGATGTTAAGATAAATTGGGATTCTGTATGTGAAATTTAAAATCTTGAGTGGATTGTGTAAAGTCAATATGATGCAATTTGGTGAAAATCTCAAGTTAGAGATTGTTTTACTTGAATTGGTATAAAATGAAGGACATTGCACTAATGAAGGCATAAAAAATATTTTATTAGAATTTTTTCTTCATAACTTTTATGACTCGAGCAATTAAGCATGTAAGGATCTTTAAAATCTGGTGCCCTATGGTCATCGGACTTGGGAGTCATCGATCGAAAGTTTGTTACATGGGTCATTTAGAAAGTTTAAGGGAGATAATATTTCAAATAAAGAAAAAATTTATTCATAAAAAAAATCAGAAAAGCATGTGTATGAAATAGAAGACACACCAAGCCTTGGTTAAATTTCAAATACTTGTTTAAGAAAGTTTAACTTTTCATAAGAAATTGTTAGCCTAACTAAATCTTAGAGATTGAAACAATCAAATTTAATGGAGAATCTTTGTTTATTGAAATGTTAAACTGCAATTGATGAAATTTTGCCAAATTAGAAAAAAATTCAATCTTAGTTCACATACTGGAAAAGAGTGAAAAGAATAAGTTTGGAGGTGTGTGAATCTTACAAGTGATGAAAGAACATATTTAACCATTGAGGGTCAGAAATTGAAACAATTTATGAATTCATAATGTTATACTTAATTCTTAACACACACGTCGATTTTACATTGAAAAGGTAAATTTTAATTTTTGTATTGTGATTTTGAAACTGTGCATAGATTTGATATTATGATTTGATTCTCGAGATAAAAAGTCGGGTTAGCTATCTAAATTTAATTGCTTTACTTGATTGACTGACCACCAATTAGGTAATTAGCATTTGTTGTTTGTGTGTTTGTTAGGTTTTAGATTTGTTTGATGACAAACAAAGATTCAAGTTTGGGGTGTGATAAGTGTAGTTTCTACACTTATTCGAGGCCATAAATAACTACACTTATTCGAGGCCATAAATGATGATATTTTATTGTCATTTGAATAAAATTTTACCTAATTTATGTTATATTGCATTTTGTAGGTAAAACTTTATGTTTAATGAAAAATTTGAGAAAAGAATACAAAATAGCAAAAAAATTGCAAAATCCAAAGTACGGGAACTAAATTGGCATGGACTGCACAAATAAATTTGTTTTAAGGACTGACTTGCATTACATGAAAGAATTGAAAACTTGAAAGCAACCATTAATTTAATTGGGCATTGGAATTAATTGGGCCTCAATTTGGAATATCAATGGGCTTGGACTCCTTGATTGAAAAGAATAAAAAGAGCTATGAATTGTAATATATATATATACATTCATGCATCGAGAGAGGTAGAAGAACACAGTGGCGACTGTTGGAAGATAATATATATATATGTATAACGCAGACAAAAAAGGAGGGGGCTGTAGCTGAAAACAATATACATATACATACATACAGCGGCCGACTGCCTTGGGTGAGAAATATATATATA